GCCTGTTAACGCTGGCATCAGCACCTTGACCTTCGCCCCCTCTTTTTTTCTTTTTTTGTCCCATCACCCCCTCTGACCTGCTTCGTCTCTCTGCGTGGAAGACGACTGGACACCGAGGAATCAGGAGAGGACGGAGGGGAAGCTGAGTGGACGAAGAGATAAATGCACTTTGCATCAGGTTCCTTAATAACATTTTTGTTGTTGTTGATGTTGTTATTTTTCTTCAGAGGAAGCATACACACAATGTAGCATCACAATATTTATTACCCTGTCACAATGTTAGCTTGCTGAGCTGCAGGGTGGACCGAGCAGCTGAGAGACATGTGGAGCGAAAGATTAAAGAGGGGAGGGGGCCAGGAAACACGCCGACAACAAGAAGGATTTAAATGAAGGAAAAGGGACTGATCTCTCTGCACCTTAGCCCTGCTGCCTCCACGGACTCGGACCTGCCTCCTTTTTCCACATAAACCATCCTTTTAGCTTAGAGATACCGAGGGGTGGGGGGGTGTATTGTTTGTTTTTGTTTGTTTTTTTTTTGTTTTTTGTTAACTTGTACACTGTGCAAGGTTGAATTATCCTGTACAGACTGTAAAATGTAATATTATTTTGTACAACTTAATTGAAAGAAAACAAATCTACTTGTAGATCTTTGTGCCTTGATTATGGCTGTACCTGTAAATGAGCTGAGATGTAAGTATGTTTTCGACTGCGCTGTACAGCTTGATGTCAAACTCTATCGGCAGCGGAAGACTGCGGGTAGGGGACTTTCTCTGTAGAGTTTAGTTTTTTCTGGTTTATAAAAAAAATAAATGCTGTTTAGTAAAAAATAAAAAAAATAGGGAAAAAATCTTAAAAACCTGTATACATTATGCAAATTAACTACTTACCTGCAGTGAAGACCAGATGTTGCAGCACCATGCCTTTTTTTTTTTTCCTTTTATTTGTTTTATTTTTCCTCCTTTAATATTTTTGAATTTCACAGCTTTAATCGAACATTGGAAATCCATCAAAAGTGTCCAAATTGCAACCTGGTGGTGTTTTAATAGGAACCAACGTTATTTCGATATGAAGTGTGTCTGAGATCTGTACTGATGTGTGTGCCTGTGCGCATGTGTACATAAAACAGACGCTGTGTGTGTGTGTGTGTGTGTGTGTGTGTGTGTGAGGGCGCGCGCGCGAGCGTGATAAATGTATGTACATGTAAATTTATAGGTCTATATAAATATATATGTACAATTATACATGTTTAATTATGTGTGTGCCTAGGTGTACATACCTATGTATGTATACAGTAAATATGTATACATACACACATAGGAAAGCATGTTTAGAATGGAGATGAATAAATGAGAGTGTGCAATATTAGTAATTCTTTGGTCCTTTGGAGCCATACCCAATGGCACAGGCACTATGAATGTGTGAGCAGCACCCAACAAGACGACAAGCTTTTCTCCTTGTACAAACAGCATCAGCCTTTTCTTCTGCTACAGTACATGTCTATCCCCAAAAGAGAGTGAACTGACTGGAGGTGCAAAAACCTTGTTTGGCCTGGGAGGATAATTAAATGACATTTTTATTTTCTTTAAATAAAGAAGCACATTAGAGGACTTTGCTTTCTTTCCATCTTGGTGTCCAGTTGTGTCCGGATTTGTTTTGTTTTTCTGTGGATGCTGTAGTGGCAATTATGTGAAAGGCTCGTACAGAGATATAAACTCAAACTTATTCGCTGTTCCTAGTTAAAAATAACACACACAGTCCTGCAGTAAACCCTCCTTTGTGAAGGTGATGATGTAGTTGAACTGTATGATCATTTTGGCTTCTTTAAAACTGTACTACATTATACAGAGAGGTGTTTCTGATGTTTAGCCTAGAATTACTGACTTAAATGGGATGGACAGAATATTAAAAATAAATTATAGCACTGTACAGTTAACACAAACTAGTGCCTTCAAAATGGTCATACAGCTGAGTCAGCACTTACTGGTAGCTAGATGTACCTAATAAACTAGCTGCTGAGTCTGCACTACAGTGGTGAGCAAGGCAGGGGACATTCAGGATCTTCAGTGTGTTTCATCTGATTTTTGTAATAATGAGAAATCATGATACACAGTGACTGTTCAGTGCACACCAGTACAGTTATTGTGGCTGATAGCACTACTCAGTTTGACGTTAAGCAGAGCTACAGAGCATTTCCACTGAAAACGTGTCACTGGGCGAGAGGCAGGGTCCACCCTGGACAGGTCACCAGTCTGTCACAGGGCTGACACAGACAACCACACACACTCACACTCCTAGAGGAAATTTACAGCCACCAGTCAACCTAAGATGCATGTCTTTGGACTGTGGGAGGAAGCTGGAGTACCTGGAGAGAACCCACTCAGGCACAGGGAGAACATGCAGACTCTGCACAGAAAGGCACTGGGTCGGGAAGGACTCGAACCTGGAACCTTCTTGCTGTGAGGCGACAGCGCTACTTATATTAAAAATTATATTTATATATTGTATTAAAATGATATATATTAATTTTTTATTACTACAAGGTATCATTGCAGGATTTAATCCTTTTCTGGTGTAAAACAGTAAAATATGAGCTTTGCAGTTGGTACACAGGGCCTTTATAATATATTTTTTTATAAAATAAGGTCTAATAAAAAGATGTCTGAATTATAGTTTAATCAACATTCTCCTAATGTGAATCGATTTCTGACTAAACAGAAGATTTCACGGCACTTTTCATGGAGTGTACTGATGAGGTTAATATCTTTTACTCATTTCCAGATTAAATCAACCCCTATAACAAAAAAGATTAACGGTGCACGATGGATGTCCTGTTCTGCTGTATATGTGACATAATATAGACAACTTGACAATCAGACAAGATTTATTTTCTCTCGAGTTAAAACCATTTTTTGAAAAATATACAATTATTGATACAATTATTTGGTGACAGTTTCAATAATTATAATAATTAAGCAAATATGCTTTAAGTTTGTATCTTTCTGAAGAAAATTTGATGTCATGTTAAATATCTTTTGTCTTTGAACTGGTCAAACAGAACAGGCGATCTGAAGATAGAAGTTTTGACACAAGCAAGTTAACTTAAGAATGAATCAGTAGAGTAAATGATAATGAAAGGAATTGTTAACCCTAATCTGGACTAATCCTGTAAATCCCTGACAAAGCAAGGTGCTTCATCATATTGAAGCTGCAGTCTGCCATACAGCAGGTCTGCTCAGAAAGAAAACATTTCGGCTGACTGATGAATTTAGCTCGGTGCACATTATCCACCATTTTGTCCAGCCCCGCAAAAGACAGAGATTTTAAAGATTTGAAATAATTCAAACGTGAAGAATATGGAGGTCTGCAGCCCAGCGTCTCTCAGACGTCCCCAATATTTTGTACTTAGATTGTATTTCACATAATTTTACAGACACAAAATATCTGTTCATATCACCTTAATTACCTTGACACAGTTTATCTCTAACTCTCAAGCTTTTGAAAAAACATGAGCATCCTATAATATTTGCTATTTTATGACTTTGGATGAGTGATTGCACTGAGTCGTAGAGCACGTCAGCCTGTAGTTCACACCATAAAGCTGTGAAACACACCTTAAGATTCTGATTTATTATGTACAGTTCATCAGAAACAATTTGGCAAAAACCCTCACAAACATTTGGCACAGAAAGTCAGCAATAAATATTTTCAGCTATGCATCATAAAAACAACAAGAAATCTGGATCAGACATAAGTAAGATGAGTGTGAAATGATCAGTGTGTTTACATCAGATCACAGTTGAACATCAGAGTAAAGAGACATAAACCGCCAACGTACGTTGGACACTTATCACCTTAAATCAGACCCTGAACGGTTAATATTTACATATGTACTTGTTTGATTTGTCTTAAACTTAATGCCACATGTGTGTACTTTCTAATAATTCAGTCACAGAAAAACCATTGGAAAGTCACTGACGGTTTCAGTGATTGAAAACTTCCTGATGTGACAACCTCCACCCTTCTACCGCTTCCAAGGAGGGTAAAACAAGTGTGTTAAACTTTGAGTCCTTTAAAGACATTTAAAATATACATTCAAGTCCTTCACTGTGCTCTAAAACATTTTGACAAGCAAACAGGTTGTGTGAACATTCAGAGCAGGAACGTCACGTTTACAAATCCTCCTGTACAGATGGGCGACAGCTGAAAGGAAAAACCTGAAGAAATGAGTGGTCGCTTTCAGGATGACAGTACCTCCATCCACAGGGCAGGAGGGATCACTGCTTGGTTTGATGGGTATGAAAGTGATGTGTCTGTCACCAGGTCTCAACCTATGGGAGATGTTGGAGCGACATGTTAGACAGCGTTCCCACCACCATCATCAAAACACCACATGAGGGAATATCTTTTGGAAGAATGGTGTTCATCCCTCCAGCAGAGCTAGTGTTGCACTGAAGCTGTTCTGGTGGCACGTGGTGGCCTAGCACCTCACTGAGACACTTGTTGTTTGTTTTTCCTTTCATTTGTCACCCTCTGTATTTTCCAGCTCCAGTGAACTCCACTCCATGGCTCTGTCCTGGGACGTGCTGTACTCTGGGTAATGTAGTTCACAGAGACTTGTGCTTCCCCAGCAGGCAGAGGCTGAGGCACTGCAGCAGGCCTTTCATCCACAGGCAGTGAGCCAGGAACAGCAGCAGCAGGCAGGCGCCGGCCGAGGAGTAAACACCGATCACCGTGCTCTCCTCTGGCATGAAACACTTGGACAGAGCATAACTGCTGGGTGATACTGACGCCTGGGGGGGGGAGACAGTACTATAGGTTAGTAGAGATACATCAGTAGAGGTGGCTGCATAGAGCCCCTTCAGCCACTAGGGGGCATCCAAAAACTGAAAGTGTGAACTTTCTCATCTTATACATATTGTTTTTAAAAACATATGATCTCTGTAGTTTTAACGTCTTAATAATATGATTTGAGGGCTCTATAACATATTTTGGAATAACAAAAAACTGGGGGTGCCATAGCATTCAAAACATTCAAAAGGATAACTCTGAAACAAGTGCAACGTTGTTTTCCCTTTAAGTCCACAGAAGGAGCATTAATGTCACTGGCATTTCTTATCTGTTGTAAGCGAAGCATCGATGGAGATGTCTGAAACAGACTGCGCTCACCAGGATGAAGCTGGGGTTGTTTCTGTTCCTCCAGCTGAATGACGGCACGCTGATTTCTGGGTACTTGTTGTCATGGAGAACCTCGCATCCGCTGTGCGTGTGTCCACTCAGGATGAGGCGAGGTTTAAACCACTGCAGCAGCTGAGAAGAGAAACCCACATCCACCTCAAACAGCGGTTGCTGCTGTCTTACATCATCAGTTTCATCATCGTCACCATCTGCTGTGCGTGACTGTCTCTGACAGCACGCCGTCGGACTTTATTTAATTAGACGGAGCCACTTCCGAGGACAAGGAGACAAACAGCAGAGGTGGTGTGATGCCACTGCAGAGAACTCACTCACCTTCTGAGACGCCTCCTTAGACAACACGTCATACTTCTCTCTGAACAGAAGGTGTCGCTCTTCAGGCGGCGCAGCGTCCAGGCCTGTGCAGCCGGCGTCGCTCACCCTGTACAGAGGATAGTGCTGGGGAGCAGAACACACACGATCAGCTTCTTATCTTTTAAGGCCAAATAATATTTAAAAGCCGGTCTCTCTGTATGGACTCGTTCCAACTGAGGAATGGACCTTTAAGGTGTTCAAATAAATATTCAAACCCATCATATGGAATTAGAGGATTTTGGCATTAGTTTACAGACCCAGTGGCAGATGTGTGCTTTAAGCTGTTTTAAACTTCTTAGTGTTGCAATTGATTATTTCATTTAGTGCATAAATATTTTTATTTCATTAAAAGGGCCCATGTCATGCTGTTACTTGTTTTTGACTTAACAATGTTACAACCGTGAATTATCATCTTAGATGTGACCTAAAGGTAAAAAAAAAAAAAAAAAAAAAAAGTGGAATGCAGGTTTTTAATTTTTTTTCGCGACAGGATTTACACACCTCTCGCGAGACTTTTTTCTAACAAGCTAAAGTATCAGTGACAGTTTAAGGATCTCCTTGAATGGACATTAAATCCAGGCCGTTAACCAGCGGATTAACGAGCCATGATGTTATTGATGCGCTACCTGTTGGAATCAGCTTCACTACTTTGGGACCGGTCCTGTGGGGAAGACGCAGCGACCACCGGTTGGATTTACAGGCCGTGGATCTACTTGAAAGGGAGTGATGTTTCCACGCCTCGGTGGGACTTAACAGTACGTTCTAAAACACACGTTACATGTCTGTCAATGCCTTGCTCCTGGAACGGTAAGGCTGGAGAAGTTACTGTGTCTGCGTTATGCCAGTTAAAACATGGGGCTTGAGTGTTACACATCTCTTTTCATCGGTACATATACCCTCGTTTACCTTTCTATGGAGGAGAATTTCATTTTAATTAATGCTGTCCACCTGCGACACAAGGACTTTAGGAAGAGGCTCTCTGGTTTTATCGTTCTGAAATAATTACAGACTACCATGAGTTATGAGAGGTGCCAAGGTAACACGGGGGTACCCAAGATTAAACATTAAATGGTTGGAAACGAGCAACATGAGCAGCCATGGGCACTTTAATGAATGGATCATTTGTTTAGATTAATGAAATAACCTGTGGGTCAGGGGCCCCTGGGTCCCAGCCACTGTATGAAGTGTTAATATTTATTGTTTGAAAGTCACACAGCTCAGGTAAAAGGCTAAAAAGTGACATAAAGAGAACAGTGAACTGCAAATGACAAGGAAGACACACAAAACAACTTAAAAGAGACACAAATCAGACACAAAATGACACAATAAGACTTCATATAGACAAATAAACACATACACAAGATTAACACAAAAAGACATAAAAACACCACAAAGGGATACAAAATTACTGCAAAGAAACACAAAGTCCAGAAAGCTGCAAGACAGAGACACACCAAACAACTTAAGAGACACAAAATGAACATAAGCAGACAGAAAAGACCACAAAAAGACACAAAACAACTTCACAGAGAAACAAAATGAACACAAAGAGGCAAGATTACTTCAAACTGACACACAAAGATCACAATGACACAAAATACCACAAAAATCTGCCAGAGACACAAACACAAAACAGTCAAAAAGAGATTAAAACAACCACAAATCGTCTCTTTCAATTTAAGGGTCCTATATAGGGGCCTTTTATTTGTCTGTGTTCAGGGGCCCATGTCTCAAAATGTGCCCATTCCTTGACTTTGACAAGCAACAGAAGCCAGTGGATGGATTACCAGTTACTAAATTCACAACTAATTAGTTAATGAAAGTTTTAGTAGAATTTAACAATCCCACTTTGAGCTAATGAGCTTCTTAGCACAAACCTCCCAACAACCAGAAGCTGTGACCTTCCAGGCCCTGCAGGTATTCTGATTGAGAAGGGAGACTTGCTTTGGATTCCCAGCCACAAAAGAGAGTTCAAAGTTCAGCGTACACTTGTGATTTACCTGTAACATGATGGGGGCTGCGGGAGGGTAGAGATGCGTGCCTTCACAGCCATCCATCCCTCCGCTGCTGGATTGTGTGTTCTGCAGAAAACAAACGTCGTAAAGAGTTCATCAGTTCATCTGATCCTCAAATATCAGTCAACATTTTCATGTCGTGTCTCTCCGGAAGAAGGAGGAAGAAGCAGCGATCAGCCACCACACATACACCATGTGTGTGAGAAGAGCCAAACACCTGCTCCAGATACAACTGATGAAGTGATTGAAAAAGTAGCTAAGGAGTATTTTAATCGTCTTCCTTGCTTGACTTGAGACATTCACACTTCATGAGGAAAGTGTAAGCGTGTCCTACTGATTTTCCTCCTACCTGACGAGAACAGTTGAGGTCTCTGGAAAGTTTGGTCAGCTCCTTTTCCACCGACTGACAGATGGGACATCCATCACCGTGCAGGGCCACACTGTTAACCAGCAGGAAACTGCAGAGAGAAACACAGGAGCTCCGATGATGGATATTCTGGATTCTTTAATGTGAAAGCGGGTTTCTTTTAATCCAATTTAATTCATCTAAACATTTATTTCTGGTTCTAAAATATTTCCTGGTAATGATTACAGGAATTCAAACCATAATGAGTATTTTGGAAGTTAGCAACAAGCTAAAAACCACATGATTATTTATTTCTTTTTAAGATTCATTTACATGACTTTTTATTTTTTATTGTCCCAAATTAGTTACAGACTGAAATCAATTTAAACAAATGCAAATAGAAAAATCTAAAAGCAATATTTTATTTTATGTAGCTATACATGTTTGGAAAATGAACAGGCTAACAGCTCCCAGAAGTGAAGTCATCGCCCCCTGGTGGCTGGTTGCAGTATAGGTCATAGATGCCACCTCCTCCGTGTTAGTGGACAGAATATGAGCCAAACTAAAACCTCAAATCACAAATTAAATGGGTTTATCCCAGAGGTGACTTCTGTAGTTTTTGGTAGATATTATCACACTGATGTGTGGTCATTTTTCTGGCCAGTTTGTTTTTGATGGTTTTTTTTTTTTGGATGATATTATAAATGGGTGTATTTCAGTTGATAGCTTTCATTGGTGGTCACTCCACTTCTGGTCGCTACTGAACAGAATAAAAGCAAGATGGCAGCTGCCATATTCCCGATATTTTAGCTTCACTTTTGCATAGTGGAGGGACGTGTAAAAGAACACGCCTCACAGTGGCAACACCATGTCTGTTGTGTGTGTGTGTGTATATACAGTATATATACGTCAGTGGTTTGGACAGAGAAGGGGTGAAAAGCCTTCACATTTTCTACTCCCACCACTTGCAAAGGGAAATTAACACATTTGATATCTTTATGTTTAAATGGATGGTTTATTCTGAGTTTTTGTATACCATTGTGTGTTTTTTAGCATTCTACCTTTTGTCTTTAACTTTAAATGCTGCTGTCTTGCTAGGGCTCCCTTGATAAAGGTTGTAAACATCAGTGGGATTTCCCTTGTAAAATAAAGATTTTAATAAAATATAAATATACGTCACCTGTCAATCTCAGTTCACTTTAGGTTTTCTCTATTCTGCTCTTTTTCTTAAAATTTCTATTTGGACTCTTTCTGTTGTTTGCTGTCTAAAATAGCAGCCTCACAAGGAAACTCTCCATCTCTTCTAGTAATTTATATCAATATTAGAGCCCTCAATTTGTATATTATTAAAACTAAACACAGACAGTGTAGTAAGAGTAATTTAACCTGCTTGAAATAAGACAGAAATGTCAAATCAAGAAAACCTAAACCTGGGGTCTTGTTCACGAGTGAGGGAAGGATGGAACGGG